AAGAAAGTGCATTATTTTCTGAGGTGTGTGATGCTCAGACATCTGCACAGCGCTGGTGATCGGCATCCAGATGTGCTCGTACACCCCATGATCAAACAGCTCGATACCTTAAATGGAAGACATGCATCATTAATTGTCAAATAACTAACTAGTCTTTCGTGTCCCATTTCTTCTGATGTTCATCTGTCCTTTCTCCTCTCTTACTTATTTGCCTTTAATGACTTTGCAGTTGAAGGTACTCAATTCGACACCCAATCTTTCTTCTTGAAAGTACTCCAAGAACTCTAGGTCTTAATGTTCTGCTGACTTCTATGAAATACCTAGATGCAAAACAGTAGACAAAGGAGAAGGTTAAGGAGTCAAGCTGTTTAAGGCTTGAAGGTATCACTAACTAATTAAAATCATTTGGGTGATAATTTGACCTGCTTCAAAATTGTCCTTAACTGATAGGGAAGAACTGATTCTTTCTGTCCCTGCAAAAGATAGAGCTTTTAAGCTGCCACTCTGTGGCTAAGAAAGATAGAAAAATGTCTTTATAACAACAACAGCAAATATTTTGTTACTGTAGCAGTGTTGTTGGGATCCCAGAGGGAATATTAATTCGCTAACAGCTTCTTGTTGCCAAAGCAATATGATGCCAGTTAGGCCGGTGAACAAATAAGCCTCGTTGGCCTCTGTGGTATCAAAAGGGTTTATGCATGTTTGTAATATCATCTTACAGAAGTGTAAAATTAAAGGCGAGGGTGAGTTATTGTCTTCATGGTAACCAAACCCTTTAGCTTGCTTAAATTGTGAAGTGCAAGAAGTTATTTAGGAGAAATAAATGGCAGCTGCATTTTTCTTCAGAGACCTGGAACACGAAGACATCCCGTTCTTTTCTCTTTTGGTTTTCGTTGCCTACTGATGTGGTAGTGTAGGAATTAATTTACAATCTCAGTTCTTGGAATGCAGTTCATGAAATTCTAATAACTTCTTATGCTTGTGTTTATAAAATGTTTCGTCTCTTACAACACTGCCAGCTTGCTAGTTCTGTTATTGCACACCCATTTCATCTTAAAAATGGCTAAGTGCTACGTGACTTGCTTATACTCTTTCTAAAATGTTGGTTTCCAGGAGATCTCTACAATTTTAGGTTGACTGTCAGGTTGTTCTTCATACAGCCTTCCTTATACAGACTTTCTGGAGTGTTTCGAAGGTTTGTGGGTTCCTTCTGGCCAAGAAAGGGGATGGCTGAGAAATGTCTAGGATACAGTTTAAACTCTTCTAATGCTAACCATAGCTACATAGGTTAGAGTGTTACCAGCTTTTTGGATACGATTTGATATAAAAAGAAGCGTATAGAATCCTGTTCCAAAATAATTTAGAAATTTACTCTGGAAATGGAAAGATCCTGTGAAGCTCTCTGCAGGAAAAAGTAAATCAGAAGTTCTGGAAATGTGTTGAGCACAAGGGGAGAAAGAACTAGGAATGGAAAGAAAGGAGAAAGCAAGTCTCTAGTCCAAGCAAAGCAAGAGTTGTAAATTAAGAGTACATTAAAAAAACTTCAAGGTATACTGACGCCTAAGGTTTCTGCAGCTGTTCAGCATTGCCAGGAAACAGAAATTCCTGACCACCTGCATTTGTTTGGAAGAGATCATCCTGTGGGTGAAAAGATGTATGATGCCACAGGAAAATACGAAAGGGAGGTGTTGCCAATAAAACCACTGTAAATGTAAGCTTGTGTACCCACAAAGAACCAGTCGAAGAGAAAATATATGCCAGAGACAAACAAAGTTTTATTTGCAACTTTTCCTCAAACTACAAGCTCAGCCCACAGGAGGAGGAGAGAGAATATTTAATTGACCAAGGAAATTTTCTGGCCAGACTCCAGCTGATATCTGCCAGCAAGACTTTGTTTTGGATGTCACTGCAGTGCTGATACTCTTGAAAAAGGTAGTGGAGGAAAGGACAAGTAGCTGAGGGATCTGAAAACGGGACAGAACGGAAAAGACTGATGTGTTTTGCATCTGTTAGCAGTTCTCCTATGTTTCAGCATTGCCCTGTCGTGTTTATTAGCACACCTTGTTCCCTCAGTCAAGGTCACATTCTTTCTCCACCCTCTGCATATGTCGGACAGATTGCTGGGCTTATTGCAAGCTCTCTGATTGCACAGTATTTTTTTCATAGCCTGATATAAGAACTTTGTTAGAGACAGCTCATTTGGTACTTAACCTGTGTTTCGGTTACCTAAAGGAAAGAAGTGCTTTGTTGTGGGAGAGGTATGAAAGAAACAATATGTTTATACTTCTTCCCTAAGTCAGTGAGACAAAATCTAGGTAAGAGTAGACAAGATACAGTTTTGTTCTGTTTTGTACTGATTTTAATCCTTCTTTGTGCTCCTTTAAATCTGACTCTGATTAAGAATCTTAAGTATCAGCTTGTCGATGTCTTTAAACAGGTATCTGAACTAATGGCTTCTCTGTATTGTTTAGCTGAGCATGAACTGGCCTAAGCACAAAATAAGATACATCTCATTTTTCTGACTTTAGAGCTGAATATTTAGAAGAATAAGCAATGCAATTATCTCAGTTAGCTTAAGAAAACTAAGTTACTGCTCTGAAAGTACATATTCTGTCCTCCAGGCATTTATTTTTAGGTAGCGTGTGTATTGCCACCAAATTATCTCTGGGAAGTCCCTGTGTTCCTGTTAGGATTTCTACACGTACTTGGTTTTACCAGTGCAGGAGCTAACACAGAATGGTAGGGGTTGGAAGGGACCTCTGGAGATCATCTAGTCCAACCTCCTGCAAGGGCAGATTCACCCAGAGCAGGTTGCACAGGAGCTTGCCCAGACGGCTTTGGAATGTCTCCAGAGAAGGAGACTCCACCACCTCCCTGGGCAGCCCGTTCCAGGGCTCTGCCACCCTCAAAGCGAAGAAGTTCCTCCTCATGTTTAGGTGGAACTTCCTATGTTTAAGTTTGTGCCCATTCCCTCTTGTCCTGTCCCTGGGCACCACTGAAAAAAGACTGTCCCCATCCTCCTGACACCCACCCTTTCAGTATTTTTAGGCATAAATTCCTCTGACTTAAATAGTGTGGGATTCATGCCCATAGCAGTGGGGTTTGGCCCAATAACAACCCATTTTTCATTCTTTGCAATTTTTGGTGGAGAATTAGAAGTCATTTCCACAACAGTGTTGTGCCCCATCTCTGAACACACACTTTTCCAAATCAGAGATTAACAGAACCTTTGAAGGCCATTGGTTGGTTGAACTTTTACTTTGAAAAAGAAAACAAGCCTCAAAACACCGTTGTTCCCAAACCAGTTATTCAACCCAGCACATGGTGTGATGTGTTGGGCCGTGCCCTGACTTACAGTTGGATGAATCTACTTGAATCTTTCTGGTCAGGGCTTTTGGGTGTGGAAAAATTTCTTTCCATGAAACTAATGATAACTGTGTCACCTTTTTCAGGCAGTCGGGTGAATCTGTATAAAAAAATATGCAAAATAAGTGATTTTGAAGGTTCATATCTGTCTTCCTGAGAAGTCATTGCTCCTGCTGGTGCGAGGACTGTGCTGGTGGGTGCTGGGAAAGGAGAGTGAATGGCTTAAACAGATTGAATGCAACATCACGTGTTGGGGTGTAGGCCCTCCAGACTGCTTTCCAGGCAAGGGGGCTGGATGACTTAGGGTGGCACAGCGAAGGTTTCTACGTGTGGTTAATCCTGTTAGTTGTTCTGCAGGTTTGGTTTGAAGTAAAAACATTGTTCATGTGGGGAGGGAGTCTTCATGAGGAATTGGAGCCATAGGATGAGGGGAAATAGTTTCAAACTGAAAGAGAAGAGATTTAGATGAGATCTCAGGAAGAAATTCTTTGCTGTGATGGTGGTGAGACACTGGAAGAGGTTGCCCAGAGAAGCTGTGGCTGCCCCATCCCTGGAGGGGTTCAAGGCCAGGCTGGATGGGGCTTGGAGCAACCTGGTCTGGTGGGAGGTGTCCCTGCCCATGGCAGGGGGTTGGAACTGGATGGTCTTTAAGGTCCCTTCCAACTCTAACCATTCTATGATTTAATTTGACCAACAACATAAAAAAAACCCCAGACTAGCAGGATGCAAAATACATTGTTTTTGAACAAAGTGAAAAGTAAAAACCAAGATTTTAGTCTGTGACCTTCTAAGCTGTAACCCTCTAAAATTCTTATTATAACAGCAATGGAAAGCACTCCTCAACTTTTTTGTGGAGAAAAAGTGCTGTCTCCATGTATATCTGCGCCCCGGGACACGGTGTCTGGTTACAGCTAAAGCAACATAACCACCTCCTGTTGCCAAAAATCGTGTGGCTTCTGATTTCCTCACCCCTGCCCGCCTGTCCTCAGTGCTCTGCAGTGATTTTGTGGGTGTCACCCTTCCCACAGGCTTCTCCACAGCAGGATTAACCCTTCCAGTGAGGAGCAGGCACCCATCCAGTCTCTCCGAGCACAGCAAAAGGAGCAGGACCACGGTCTGAAGAGGGATGGTCTCTGCAGCTACGTTGATTTAACAGCAAATTTCACAAAAGTAAGTCCCCGGGGAACCGCCGTCCTCACGCAGCAGCAGAGATGGGGGAGAACGCAGTAGAGGGTGGGCTGGGAGGGTGGTGGCATGAAAAATAGAGGGAGGTCTTAGGCTAAATTTCTTCCTATGTTGCCCGCAGCCATGTATACCCCGGAATGCTGTAGTTTCCTTAAGTATTCAGTGGGTTTGTTTGTTTAACTGGGGTTATTTTCTTGTTCCTGGGCGAGCTCCCAGCTCTGCAGGCAGCAGGCGGTGGTGCCCTCCGGTCCCGGGGCAGACAGGGATGTCTCCATCCCACTGTACCACAGAACCCCCCCTGTCCTGGCAGCATAATTTGAACTTTTGGGGGCACTGCCCTGACCCCACACTTGGTATTTTTTCTGCTCAGCCCTGCCGGGGTAGTCGCTTTTCCGGGCTGACTGATAAATGTTGAGCTGTTGCCAAACGAGGCGGCGTTTACTGCTTCCTCCTCCAGATCCATGTCTGACTGTGCTTAATGTGACGTCGGACGTAGTTCATTTGGTAAGAGAAGCAGGGAGGGTGGGGAAAGCTTCCAAGCTTTCACTTATCACCAAAATCCCTACTGCAGCCTTTTCAAGGCTTGTATTTAAGGCTCCTGAACGAGCACGCTGTATCTAGCAATGTGTGTAGGTGCATTTGAACTGAATTTGAGATTAAAAATGAAAGCCTCTCCATACACAGCATGTTCCTGGGGACGGGAGAGGTAAGCTGAGGAGCAAGGATGGCACTGCACCTGGAAAAAAGCCCTCTGCTTCAGGCTAGTGGCAGCTGGGCAATGAGGAACTCTGTTAATGGTCCGGCTGGTGGCTTACCTGCCTGATTTCAGAGGGAGACATTCCCTCCAGATCCATGTTTTTTGGTGGGAGGCTGTTGGAAAGTGAGGTACAGCTAAACAGGAGCAACTGGCCGAGCCACTGGGATAAATGCAAGGGACAGTACTGTTGCTGGCATGTTAAGTGTATAACATCTAAGTACAGTGAGATGCTGATGTAACGACTTTGGTCGAAAGAAACTCAGGGAAGCAAGCTGCACATACTGGCACGTAGCACAGGAATTGGGGAATATGAAAACACTAGAATAATCATAGAATCATAGAATTGTCCAGGCCGGAAGGGACCTCCAAAGGCCATCTAGTCCAACCCCCCCGCAGTCAGCAGGGACACCCCCAACTAGACCAGGTTGCCCAGGGCCTCGTCGAGCCTCTCCTTGAATATCTCCAGGGAAGGGGCCTCAACCACCTCCCTGGGCAACCTGTTCCAGTGCTCCACCATCCTCACAGTGAGTTTTTAAGACCCTCGGTTTTGCCACAGAAGATTCAGCTCCAGGGGTGACACATCCACGTTTCACCTGGGCGTCAGAGTTGAGCCAGCACAGACAGCAAAAGTCTATTGCAATCAATGACAGAGAAAAATATAACAACAAAAACCAGACTTTTCTTCCTAGCCGTGTATTTAATGACTTATTTTGATGTTGATGCAATGAGTCTTGGTATTGCTCAATATTTTAATCGGGTTGAGTTGCGACATCCTTAACTGTGTGCTGTTACACCTTCCCGTCTGTCAACAGCAACGCTTGATTCCAAGGTAATGCTTTACCAGACCAGGGCTTCCTCCCTCCTTCAAAGTTAAACTTTGTCCCTCTTTTCCTTTCTAGATAGGCTCCTTTTGCACCGTCTGTCTGTGACTCGGAGCATTCCAGGAGCTGCAAGGCACCAGCCATGCTCCCTTCCCAGCCTCTCCTGCCCGCTGTGGTGTTTGCCCTTGTGGTCCTTCAGGCCCTGGCCTCTGACACCTTCATTGCAGCCGTCTACGAGCACGCCGTCATCCTGCCAGATGCCACCATACAGCCCGTGTCTCCCGATGATGCTTTGGCCCTGATGAACAAGAACATGGATGTCTTGGAAGGGGCCGTCAAGGAAGCCTCCCAGCAGGTACTAGGTGTATGGGGAGCCTTGTTAATTAGTGTTTTCTGCTCCCGCTGGCCCTCCTGGTTGTCTGTTGATGGGTGAATTCCTAACGGAGCCTGTTGTGTCAGGGTGCCCACATCATTGTGACTCCTGAAGATGGCATTTACGGATGGCGTTTCACCAGAGAAGCCATCTACCCCTACCTGGAGGACATCCCTGATCCGGGGGTGAACTGGATTCCCTGCACCGACCCCAAAAGGTGATTGCCTCTGCAGTTATCTTTCACTATGAGGGCGATGAGACACTGGAAGAGGTTGCCCAGAGAAGCTGTGGCTGCCCCATCCCTGGAGGGGTTCAAGGCCAGGCTGGATGTGGCTTGGAGCAACCTGGTCTGGTGGGAGGTGTCCCTGCCCAGGGCAGGGGGGTTGGAACTGGATGGCCTTTAAGGTCCCTTCCAACCAAAACCATTCTATGTTTCTATGATTTATGTGGTTTCAAACTAGTGTCTCATGGATTGTGAGCTGCTCCCAATAAGTGTCTGAGAACTGCTAATGCTTTTGGCAAGAGGGCAAGTTAAGTTAAAATTGTATATGAAGGTAAGGTACGTGGTAAAATACATGTCATGTCCATGACTAATTGACATGGGAACCCTCTTAAAAAAATGGGTTTTAAATTAGACACTTTAAAGAGAAATTCAATCAATATACAGAATTTGGTTTACTGAATGTAGAGGAAAGTCTTTTTTTGTACTTGGAAAAGCTTTGATGTCAGAATATGTTCTTACTCAGCTTTCAGTTTTTTCCCACTATTTTAAATTCTTAACACTAGTTTTTATTTATTTTGTTGGTTGATCTGTTTGTTTTGGTTTTTTACCAATGCTGTGTTCAAAGAAAAGCACTCATACTGTTTTTGTGGACAGCCAAGAACTAGTTTCTGAGCAGCTAATATCAGGAGAGGAGAAGTCAGTAGTCAAAGTCCAAACCTCTGAGTGATACAAACCCAGAAACTTGTAATCTTAATTTTTCACAATTAAGATAAGATAAAGTCTGAATTGCTAGAGCCTCTGTTCTGTAGAACATGATCCATCGTTCAAACGATGTCCTGTGTGGCCCAGCACACGTAGGACCTTTCACAGGACAGCAGTGATGAGCTTGCCAAAGCTCATGCCCACCTTGCCAAAGCAAATGCAGGCCTTAGAGAGGGCAGTGTCTGCTCCCATCTGCCCTGGTACGGGTGCTGCCAGTTTATAGCACATGGCCTGTCACACCTTGAAGTGAATATCCCACTGCTGTTAATGTATGGATGGGTGGGTTGAGGCCAACAGTATGAAGTTCAACAAGGTCAAGTGCTGAAGTTGCCCAGCAGAAAAGGACCTGGCGGTGTTGGTCCCCAGCTGGCTGACTACAAGCCAGCAGTGTGCCCAGGTGGCCAAGAAGGCCAACAGCATCCTGGCCTGTGTCAGGCCCAGTGTGGCCAGCAGGACTGGGGCAGTGATCCCCACCCTGTACTGGGCACTGGTGAGGCTCCACCTCAATGGCTGTGTCCAGTTTTGGGGCCCTCACCACAAAAAGCCAGTGAGGGGCTGGAGCGGGTCCAGAGAAGGGCAACGGAGCTGGTGAGGGGTCTGGAGCACAAGTCTGGTGAGGAGTGGCTGAGGGAGCTGGGGGTGTTCGGCCTGGAGAAAAGGAGGCTGAGGGGAGACCTTCTCGCTCTCTCCAACTCCCTGAAAGGAGGTTGGGGTCAGCACCATGGGGTATTGACAGGCAGCCCAGGGGTGGCAATTTCCTCTGGACTCCGATGGGAAGTCGGAGGAACCGAGGTGCAGGAGGCAACCTGAGGGATTTCTGCAGCCACCCTCTGTATCTGCCTGTCCTGCCCTGACCATGGGATGGGAGGTGATGTTGGTGTGCCCTCAATGCTCCAGTGATGGACACCACTGACAACATAGTTATTATTAGTGTTTTCTTTCTCTTTTTTTTTTTTTTTTTTTTT